ATGCAGAAAGTTTCAAAAAAATGTTAATCGATCAAAAAGATTAACGATTAATCGAGAAATTAATCGTTAATTTGCACAGCCCTAGTTTTTTTAACCTAGACACAAACGAGCTGTTAACCCTTACAGTGTGGGGGTAGTTTTTTCAGATTTTAAAAATCTGCAGCTGATTAAATCAATAACTGGTGACTCACCCCAAAAATCTTTGTTCAGGCACTTCCAGTTTTGGGGTGACAATATTTTGTTGTTGCCTTCCAATTAAGCCCCTGCATTGTCACCCTGTCACACATATCCCTGATGGAGACAACGTGCTACCCTGCTGACACACATTGTGCAGGCACACTCCAACATTGAAAGCCAATTCAGAGCAATGATATGAAGGGGACGCTGCAATGAATGCATTTAGACAGGAAAAGGCTGAAAGAGGCTGGAGGAGATCTGCAGCACTGATATGCAACAAAGGGTGAACAATCATTGAAAGCAGGTTGTTCTTTCTAAAAAAACAACACATGGAAGTAATTTAAGAAATATCTTGTTAGGGTTTACATGTAGTTTAAATAAGTCATGCCTTTCCAAATAAGCCTTTCAAGAAATGAGCATACTTTAATAGTTTTAAAAAAATGCCATTATGATGTATAATATGAAAAGAGAATCATTCTTCAATGCCTTTGAAAACCTGGCAAGTGGTCCTAAGGACTTTGGTTTACCACCCAAATCCCTGCCTTTGCGTCATCTGGGAGTTCTGACTTGTGAACAGTAACTTTCTCTTTTACAAACAGCATAGCCTGCTCACCCTTCATTCATAGAACAATGTGTTTTGTCTCCTTTAAATATGTGTTTTTGGTCCCCCTGGGTGCTTACCACGGCTGCAGCCCTCATTAGTTACATCTCAGCTTCATGTCAAATTTCTTACATCCCAACAAGTACAAACCTCCTAGCTGTAATTCCAAGTATCACCAACAGGTGGTAGCATTCCATAACATACCAGTATGACCAGTTACAGTATAGTATAGCCATCCAGACTGGAAAAGTCTATGCAGCATTCCAATAATTGCATTTTGTTCTTTGTTTACAAATCCATTGCAGACACCAGTTATGATAGTGCATTGCTCAGCCCAGCCGGGTCTCAAAATTAACTATTCATTTCATATACATCCACTTGCTAACAGAGGAGTGGAAAGCTGAACTCCAGGTATAAAGTATTATATACAGTGTACTTACATCGGTCCAACATGGCCCAATGTAAGTGTGCATATGTCATACCCAGGGCCGGATTTGCTCTCCCTGCCGCCCCAAGGCCAGATTCCGCAATGCGCCCCCTATCCGGCCAACCGAACCCCCCCCCCATCAACGGAGAATGGCAACCGGATGACAGGGGCGGCAGGGTTAGTTCTATTTTTTTGTTTCTTTATTTTTTCTTACTTTTTTATCACTTTTTTTATTTGTATTTACTTTTTACATTTTTAGCTTGTCGTTTACTTTTTTTTATTTTTTATGATTTTCTATCTTCTTATTGTTTATTTATTTTTTAATATTCATTTTCTTATTTTTTTCATTTAATTATTTCTTATTATTTTTTTATCAATTTTCTTTTCACTTAACTTTATTGCTATCACACAGGAGAAAACAATCCCTATGTGATAGCAATTTGAGGTGAAAGGTTCTCTTTATTGACCCTGTCACCTCCAAAACAGGAGTTCTAGCATAGCACTGTGCTAGAACTCCTGTTGTCACAGCTGAGGTAGGTGGGGAGGGGGGGGAGGACGGACGGCAGCACACATTATACACTTGTTAACGAGCGAGCGGATTCCCCACACTACATTTAGTCCTGCCTTCCCAAATCAGGACTAAATGTAGAAGGCAACTTGGCGCCCGGAACTGTATGTTCTGGCCGTCGGGGGACTCCACACCGCTGCCGCCCCTCGGCGCCCCTATCAGACAGGATAGTCTTTCTATCAGACAGGAAGTGAAGGGAAATCTCCCCAATGAGACACAGATGGCAAATAAAGCTGCCAGGTGACCGTGCTGACTAATGAGTGCTCACCATTTGTGAGGAAAATTCAAAATCCAGAACGCGGGGCTGCTTTACATCTCAGTACGGGGTATCGATAGTACACCTGTACCGGTGGAGGCGTTCGCCCAGAGGTAAGTATAGCGCGTGCGCGGGAAGGGGGGGATGTTGGGGCGATTGGAGGGTGTAATTCCATTTTTCAAAATTCACCAGGAATTACCCTTTAATGCTGGCAACCTAATACCAATACCACCAGTCATTTCTCCGTCCTCACATCTATACACTGTTTATAGAACATGATGATTTACAGAACATTAGACCGATGCAGCAGAGGGGGAGAGAGGCGCCAGGGACTGGCCTAAGAACAAGCCGGTTCAGAGCATCGGGTGAGTATAACTTGTCTTTTTTTTTAGCACCTAGACAAAAATGAGCACTTAACCCTTGAAGTGCAGGGGTGGCCCCACTGCAAGACGTAAGAAAAATTCTGCCCAGAGTTCTGCTTTAAGATGGAGCTGAATTTAAAAAGTGAGGATTTGCTATATTAAAGGGAACATCTTGAAATGATAATTGTGCAAACAAATACCCTGAAATATTTGCCTTTTGTCTCTCATTCCTCCTGAAAAATAGCAGTGCACTTCCTGGCATGTGAGTGTGCCTGGGCAGTCCTACTAGTCTCAGGGGATCTGGAGTGAGATTTGGTGATGTCCCTACTATGCAGCTCATTGTTCTCCTTGCTGGAGGCTCCGGCATGAAGAAGCAAAACTCTTCCTCTACCAAGACAGACACAGGAGACCACAGACAATACTGGTGGCTGCTTCTCTGCCCATGTCTGCCCTATGTGAGTGCACCTTATATGGGTTTAATAGTAAAGGTGGTCTTGGGTAATGCATGAGATCTCTGTACTTTCTTTTTCATTTCATTCCTTTTCCCTCTGCTTTTATTTTTGGGACACAGCTTCCAGCTATTTTTGGGACACAGCTTCCATAGTTCAGTTCCTCTTTAGGTATTAGGGGTTCATTTTAAGAGGTGGTGTGTGTGTGTTAAAGAAGCACTGCAACGGTTAAATGCTCACAGGTTAAAAAAAGTTATACTCACCCGATGCTCTGAACCAGTTTGTTCTTAGACCAGTCCCGGGAGCGTCTCTTTCCCTCTGCAGCAGTCTAAGGTCCAGTAAATCATCACATTATATACACAGTGTGTAGATGTGAGGACACTGAAGAAGATTCCAATGCTGCAGTGGAGGAGACAGGCTGGAGGGAGCACTGTGACAGCCGTCCGGCTCGGAGCTTCGGGTTAGTATAACTTTGTTATTGTAGCATCTAGACAAAAACGAGCACCTAACCCTTGCAGTGGGGGTAGCTCCACTGCAAGGGCTAAGAAAATGTTTTTCTGGAGTTCTTCTTTAACGTCAAGGTAATAAGTGTTATGGTGGTAATAACTTCTAGTTAGGGTTAGATTTACTTGTGGAGGACATGGGTGCTTATGGTGACCTTTACATGTGGTCTTAGTTAGCCCCTCTCTGAAACGTAGTACCCCCACCACCAGAAAATAACATCAAACCTTTACGTTGTACTCTTTTTACTTCTGTGAAAGAGTTTCCTGTAACAAAGACCAATCACTGCTGCTCTCTCATTGTGCAGAATGACTGGTCCTGTATCCACCCCCTCCTATAGTTTTCTGCAGGCTACCTGTAGTGGGTGGAGCTGTGTTGTGTCTTGTGTAGTCTTGTGCTAGCAAGCAGTAGACATATGTAAAAGGATTTTTTTTTTAAACCCCCCAAAAACTTGTTCAAAGGGTTAATACTTACCTGTGTCTCCGCCGCGCACTCCCGTCCGAACATCTGAAAATTTCTCGAGCGGCCGCAAAGGATCATGGGGCGGGCGCATGCGCATTTCAGATGTTCGGCCGAGAGACGAGGAGAGTCACAAGGTAAGTCTATGGAGCAGCATGCACCGGCACAGACTCCGTGGGACATCAGAGAAGAGGAGGATAGAGAAGTCAACGCTGGATCCGAGACCCGCATCCAGCGCTGGAGGGACAGCTAAAAACTACAGGAAAGAAGAAGATCGGATTAAGATGCATGATTTAACCTCTTGCCGTCCGCCCGTAGTAAAAAAACGGACGGACGGCACTGCAGCATCTGCGGGTTGCCGTCTCCAGACGGCATTAGCACTGTGGGGGCGGGGGGACTATTGCCCTTGATGTCACTTCAAATGAACCTTTATTGTGCCCAGAGTTCTGTTTTAGTTAGCATTCCTTAGCCCAGCTCAGCAACTAGTAATTCTGCTTTCAGTGTCCATTTGGTGATTGCATTGTGGACTTATTGTATATCCTTTGTGTCTATTGGGGAATATATTTTTTTCCTTTGTGCCCAGAACCATTCACACATAGGCGGTTCTACTCGTGCAAAGATGCGCAAGTAAACACGCAAAACCTAAAAAGCAATGAATTTCTATGGGGCTTGTTCACACCTACCCGTTCATAGTCACGCAAAACAACCAACTGCAACGCCGGGGAAAAGTACATGCGCGATTTTGTGGCAAATTTCAGTGCGTTCTGTCTCCAACAGACTGTAGTGTAGCTGCAAACGTGCACAAAACTGCACTCCTATTAAAAATTACGCATTTAAATGTGAGCACAAAAAAACGCACTGAATTCCAAACGCCTATGTGTGAATGGAGAAGTAGCAATCAGTAATTCTGCTTTCAGATCCCATCCTAGTATTTCCCAATTCTCTCTGATAACACGGATGATTGTGAGCTTATATTACTCGTGTATATTTTAATGAGCTGTACTGATTTGGTTTGATAAATGTACTTTTCCAGTTCCTCTTCATAGGGTTGTAAATGAATAAATCTCCTAGGTGTCTTAGGCTCTGATAGTAGGGAGAGGGTTAAGGGGGAGTGTCTCGTTCCATTTGCTTGCCTCCCCTCCCGTGTACACGCCAATGGTTCGTTCCAAGCTATATGAAGCGCTGCGTAGCTCTAGAGACCAGTGATGGGAAGAGGGATCCCCGGCGGTGTGAGCGGACGTATCATACTATGAGCACACACCATGGCTCTGCAGTGACAGCTCTCCTCTACACAAAGCAATGCTGTGAACACGATCGCACCTTCCTCTCTGCAGCCGATCTCCTCGCACCGAGATGTTGCCCTGGAAAAAAAGCAAATTCGACCTAATCGAGGAGGACGGCAAGCAGACCAAGCAGAAGGGCTATGCGGTGAGCCTGAACTACAGCGCCCTGACCTCCTTTGCCAAGTCGTGCCCGGAGGGGGCTCTGACCAGGGTGGGCAGCATGTTCAAATCCAAGAGGAAGAAGATTAAAATCACCGGGGAGGACCCGACCTACACCGTGCTGTACCTGGGCAATGCCACCACTCTACAGTCCAAGGGAGAGGGCTGCACCGACCTGGCCGTGTGCAAGATCTGGAGCAAGAGCGAGATGGGCAAGCACGGCACCAAGATGAAGCTGACGGTCAGCTCTCAGGGCATCCGCATGGTGCATGTGGAGGACAAAGCCAAGCGGCCCGGGCACCTGTACCTGTTGCACAGGGTCACCTACTGCGTGGCCGATCCCCGGCTGCCCAAGATCTTTGCGTGGATCTACCGGCACGAGATGAAGCACAAGGCGGTGATGCTGCGCTGTCACGCCGTGCTGGTGTCCAAACCGGAGAAGGCTAAGGCGATGGCGCTGCTGCTGTACCAGACCTCAGCCAACGCCCTGGCCGAATTTAAGAGACTGAAAAGGAGAGAGGATGCCAGGCACCAGCAGCAGCAGCTGATCGGAGAGCAGAACATCCCTCTGGTCCCCCTGAGGAAGCTGCTGAACGGACAATGCTGCTACAAGCCTCCTGTAGAGAGGAGCCGCAGCGCCCCAAAACTGGGCTCCATCACTGAGGACCAGCTGGGAGAAGAAGAGGAAGAAAGAGCCATGAGCTTCGAGTGTGAAGATGTCCTGGATACTGGAGGTGGGGGAGATGGAGGGGCAGACGAAGACCAGGTCAAGCAAGAACTGTCTCAGCTCATCAGTGACTTGGGGGAGCTGAGTCTGGGCAATGACTTGCAGACCCTCAAGGCAGACCTAAGGGTGACCAGACTGCTGTCAGGTGAGAGCACAGGCAGTGAGTCCTCCATAGAGAGCAACCAGGAGAATGGACACTTCAGCAATGGCTTTGAGGAGTGCAGGGTGCTTGAAACTGTATGAGAAGGGGGGCAGCATCCCTGGAACATACTGATGTAATGAAAGCATTAGAGATTGACGGCATCCTTTTCCTCCAGGGGCTTCATGGCGTTCTAGAGACCATGCACCTCCAGGACTGCCAGAGGCTTGCAGTTATAACTCCTCTACAGATGTCACCCCCCTTACAGAATGAAAAGGGATTTTCTGACAGTGAAGGGAAAACCATGCATATCTATGATTGCAGAATCTGACATGCACATGTTTAGGGTTCATCTGTATCGTGACTGATTGCCGACACATGGATGGATGTGTCTACAGTACTGAATAGTGTGCATGTCCTGTATGCATCATTCCAAAGGCATATTTTGATGCTCTTTGTGCCACCAACCTGTACTGTTCAGGGCTCTGTTCTTCGGAAGGTTGTGCATTGTGGGGAATGCATGTGTTTGGGCTATAGAAGGGCGATGGGCCAGTTTTACTTCTGTCAAAGTGCATAGTTTGAAGGAATTGTAGAACTGGCTGTAAATGGTTGACACATGCATCCACAATTCCCTTCATATAATTTAAAAAGTGAAATTATTATCCTACCCCTCATAATCCAGTTGTACTGGAAGCTGTATTCATGTCAGAATTATTCTTTTTTGGGACTTGTGCAATGCTTCTCACCTTCCAACACTACATGAGTTGAAGCCCAGCGAGCGCACAGTAAAAACCATGTGGTATGCATAATAAGCACTTTTGGCCTGGTGTATATTCCTTGACTGCTACGGTGCTAGCACCTTTTGTTTCCATCAGTATTGTCTGTGACATCGTTTCGTTGTTTTGGTATTTAAACATTTATCTGAGATCAAAGACCTTTAGAACAAAATGGCCATCTTGGGCAGTCACACACTAGTATAGGTAATAATTCTAGTAACCCTCATCTGTGTATGGCCCGAGACTTATCTATCTAAGCTGTGTGTGCCCCAGTTGGCACTGCTGCTAAATTGTCAGACGGGATTGTGGTGTAGTAATTATTACCAAATGTTCTCCCTACCTGGGAGTGTTCTGACACTCTTCATACCCAGCCTGAGTTTTTCTAAACCCGAACCCTGACGTATTATGACAGTCACAGTCGGCAGCATTTTGAGCAGAATCTTCCCAGCTGCTGTTTGTTTAGGTTCAGTTTTCTGGGCTCGTGTTCAGTCGTATGAAAGGAGAGAAAAAAAAAAAGTGCAATGCTGGGAAGTCGAGTGGGGCCATGCACAAGATGTCTTTTTTTTCTTTCCCATGTCTACTTCCTGTTTTCTTCTTGGCTTGGTGCGATATTTGCACATATAATTGCGGTGGCGGGAGGCAGAGGAGGGTGAAATATTGCCATTCTGTTCTTGCACCAGGTAGACTAATTCATTCAAACTGAAAGGTTAACGGCACATGGCAGACCAAGCGCTTTGTCTAATCACAGCCTAATCGGTCCCTTCAGCTGCCCTCTAGTAGCGGAATATGAAGCATTAGGAAAAGGTAACTGTTCATAGTGGCTCTGCTATGGAGTGCACAATGGATACATTCACATACTCTCCCCCAGGCCTTTTTTTTTCCCCCAGAGGTAACACTTTGTGCCACATACACTTACTAGCGTGCTGTTTTACAGAGAAAACTATCTGCCATTGCTACTATTCTATCCATTGTTGAAAGGGATCTGCTACATTCAAGAATATTCTATAGTTTGGTCATGGCACAGACCCTTGGCTTTACAAATGATCTGGTTTTTCAATCTGTATGATGATGATGATGTATAGTGTTATGTAGGAAAACCCTTATGGCTTTGCACTGTGGGCACACTCTCAGACAAGCTACCAGCATTCTAGAGAAGATTTCAATGAATGGATCTCTAGGCCATCATAGCGGTATTCACATCAAATGTCCAGTGCAGAATTGAGACAAATGTGGCTGACTTGTTTGAGAATTGGATACACAGACTTACAGCTTTAGTGAGCGTTTATATAAATGGCATTCTTCATACAAAAAAGAATACTTTATATCCTTCTAATCTGCCCTGAAAAACAAATCCCAGCTTGGATATCATTAGACCTGGGGGTAGTCAACCTCAGCATGCCAGCTCTTCTGGTTATACAAGTCCCATAAGGCATTGCAAGCCTGACAGCCACAGGCATGACTCCCGGAGGCATGATGGTTTTCCAGTTTCAACATCGCTGGAGTGCCGAATTTGCCTACCCCTGCATTTGACTAAACCGAGATATACCTACAGCTCGCTCTCTTTGGATTATTGTAAATGTAGTGCAACAGCAGCTAGAAAATTCAGAGTGAAGGAAGTAATGGATGTGAATAAGAGGAACAAAGGAGTGTTGCCTATAATAACCTGTCATGCGTTTTAGCTTTTATTTTCCTGGATAGTGCAAAGCAAATCTGAAATCAAGTTTCTATAGGAAATGTCTGTTTTTCTATTCTTCAGAGACGCAGAGTACCCCTAATTTATAAAAGTGTCCGAGAAGTGCCTATGGCAGCTTTCTTGTGCTTATTGTTGGACAGGAAAGTGAAAAGTTACGTTGTTAGCTGGTTGTTATGGGCAACACCCAGGTCTTCTGCCATTTAGTTGAATGAGAAAGATAAATGTGCATAAAGCGAGCAAATGGGTTCATCAGTTTCCTGTAGACAGATCAGCAAAGTTGGGCAACAACAGTTTCGTATAGGCAATACCTGGGTTTTCTTAAAGCTAAACTCCAGGAACAAAAACTTTCATTGAAATCATCTGTTCACCACCAATGGCCACGAAGGACCTAAATCCTCTACAG